CACACACACACACACACACACACACACACACACACGGATATAATATTTTCTCACACCTTGATACCTAAAAGATGAAAGATCCCTCCACTTTGTTGTGTGTGTGTTTCAGAAACCGCGGGTGTTTCCCTAGCAAAATACAACGTAGATAACATCAACAAGAACATCAACAAAAACAACAACATCAACAACAACATCAACAACATCAACATAAACAACAACATCAACAACAACATCAACAACATCATCACTTCAACTACATCATTACCATTCTCCATCAGCAAAATATCAAATCTTTCAACACGCCACTATTAGTTAATCAATAAAAGGTGTTGATGCCATTGCTATGTGCCTTCACGTTCATTATTGAAACATCGTTCGTTCGTTCGTTCGTTCATCCATTGTTCGTTTGTCAGTTCGTTTGATCGCTTGTTCATTTATTTATTTATTTGTTCATTCGTTCGTTCTTTCGTTCGTTTGTTCATTCGTTTGTTCATTTAATTTACAATTTGTTCGTTCTTCATTCTATTATTTACTCATTAATTCATTCATTTTCATTTGTTCAATCGCTCATGTATTCATTCGACAATTCATTCATTCACGCATTTGCAAGCGTAAACATCATCATCGTCATCATCCTTACAATCATCATCGTCATCCTCTTCATCATCATCGTCATCATCGTCATCCTCTTCCTCCTCTTCATCATCATCATCATCATCGTCATCTTCTTCCTCCTCTTCATCATCATTGTCATTGTCATCATCATCATCATCGTAGTAGTCAACACTATCGTCATCATAACCACAATCATCATCATCGTCATCCCAGCCAATATAAAATATTAATTAAACATTAAACTCTAGCCAGGCGTTCATTACTCTCCAATCAATCTCCTATCGCAATTTTCAGTTCAATTTATGTTTTATTATTGAATTAATTGATTTGAGAAAAATAATAATAATAAAAATAATATCAACAACAACAGCAACAACAACAACAACAACAACAGCAACAACAACAACAGCAGCAGCAACAACAACAACAACAACAATAATAATAATAATAAGAAGAAGAAGAAGAAGAAGAAGAGGGAGAAGACGACGAAGAAGAAATAACAATAATAGCATTAATAATTTTATTAACATTTCTACTACACCACTATAAAACTTCTACTGCTGCTACAACAACAACTACTACTACTACTACCACTACTACTACTACTACTACTACTACTACTTCTATTACTATTACTACTACTACTACTACTTCTATTACTATTACTACTACTACTACTACTTCTACTACTTCATATATATATATGTATATATTTATGTACAAATCATAAAACACATACACGGACATACATACACATAACCTCAAAATCACGTTGATGGTAATTAAGCGCAGATGCTGAAACATTGGAACCATATAATGAGGTGTAGGTTTGTTTGTTTTGGTTTGTTTGTATGTATGTATGTATGTATATATGTATGTATGAATTTATGTGTGTACGTATGTATGTTTGTTTGTTTTTTTGTATGTGTGTATGTATGTATGTTTGTATGATTGAATGTGTGTACGTATGTATGTTTGTTTGTTTTTTTTGTCTGTGTGTACGCATAAGCATTTTTCAACGTTTATACTTCTACATATTTCAACAATTAGTCTCAACTTGTGGTTTCCAGACGTTACGTGATGAGGTCTCTTCAATTATTCCTACGCTGGTGTGTCGGTGGAAAAAAATTTTTTGTTTTTCATCGTACGAACGTATGTTGGTTTGATTTGAATGCCTGTATGTCTGTCTGCATATCTGTATGTGTGTGTGTGTTTGTATGTTTGCTTGTGTGTGTTTATATGTGTATGTGCATGTTTGTATGTGTGTGTTTGTATGTGTGTTTGTATGTTTGTGTATGTATATTCATTCAAGCAGGAATAAATGTTAATCAACTTATTGTATATATTGCAGCTGGTTTAGGCAAGGATTACTCTGCAATTGATCCAGGTCACATCAGCACCAGTGCCAAGCACCTCTACCATTACACCACGGTGCTGCCCTGAAATGGATGGATGGATGACGTCACAAACTGGACTGAAGGTGAAACTGACCACGCAAATGTGGACAATATCGTGCCCAAGTCAAGAGATAGGAAGTTGACAGAAATCATTTCTTAATTGATTGGCTGGTTGATTATGATTGATTAGCTGGCTGTTTGTTTGATTGGCTGGTTAATTGATGGATTAGCTAGTTGATTGGCTAGTCGATTGTTTGATTGGTTGGCTGTTTAATTGATTGATTAGTTAGTTGATTGGCTAGTCGATTGTTTGATTGGTTGGCTGTTTAATTGATTGATTAGTTAGTTAATTGATTAGTTGATCATTTGCTTGGTTGGCTGGTTAATGGATTAATTAGCTAGTTGATTGGCAAGTCTATTGTTTGATTTGTTGTTTAGCTGGTTGATTGATTGAATAATTGATTCCCTAACTGTATTGAACAGCGGTGTGCTAAGCTAAGCTGCGCTAAACATAAAACTGACAACTACGAACAATAGATATTTATTGGTCTTCGGTGAAAATTCATATTAAAAAACAAGACATTTTCTTCAATAAAATAAAATTTATAAACTCAAGAAATTTAAAAAAATAAAAAACCAGAAATAACATATTGCTTAACTTTGACAACAATGAAAGTGTGATACACACACAAATAAATAAATGAATATTTTGTGTGTGTGTGAGCGCATATGCGTTTGTGCGTGTGTGTGTCGTATATATGTGCATGAGTGTGTGTGTGCGTATACATGTGCGTGAGTGAGTGTGTGTGTGTGTGTTATTATTAGGACGATATAAAATAACATTGCTTCATTTAAAAGGGTTGACTCGATTTTTTCCAAGGCACATACTTTGTATCAGCAATCAATGTCTCAGTTGAGAAACGGATGTAATGGAAGTTTTTATATAACCAATGATAACGCGAGTAAAAATGATATTGTTTATAATACCACCATAATTTTATTATTATTATTGTTGTTGTTGTTGTTGCTGTTGTTGTAAAAACACTCATACGTACAGCTTCACAATATTGTATAAATTAAAGGCATTTTTTGTCTCTTGGTAAGCACCTAAAGATATTATTGTTATTTCTCTTATTACTGTTATAATAATAATAATAATAAATATTATTATTATTACTATTATTTTTATCATACACACATATGTACACATACACACGCATACATACATACATATAGAGACACGTCAGCCAATGACACTGCCATCGCGAACGTTGTTACTGCTGCCACCAGCACTGCTGCCGTTACGTAAGTAACATCCGTTATTATTAAGTTCACTTTTATTCATCTGCCACGCGCCCTCCATCCTCCAAACTGAAAACGCGTACCCCAACTTGTCCGAGGAGATGACCGGACTTCCGTTTAAACCGGAAACATATCCACCGTTAGCAAATTCGTCCATACTTTGATGTTGTTGTTGCTGCTGCTGCTGATGTTGCTGCTGCTGCTGCTTATTGTTCTCTAATTGATCGTATAAAAAGTCGATATATCTGGTTGCGAGTTTCAGGGTTTGGATTTTGCTGAGTTTGTCGGACGGGAGCGTCGGAACGATTTTTCTTAACTGTGAGAAGGCATCGTTTAAGGATTGCGTTCTTTGGCGCTCACGGACGTTCGCAAGAACTCGCTGCGTTTGTAGCGAGAGTGGTGGCGAGTTGTTGTGGCTGTTGTAGTTGCTGTAGTAGTTTTTGCCGCTACCGTTGTGGTTGTAGGCGATGTTGTTTGTGGTGGCGTTGGGAAGTTTTCTGTAGGTAGATGTCGTTGTTTGGGTGTTGAAATTTATGCTCGGAGTCGTCGTAATTGTAGTCGTCGGCGCTGTGTTGTTGCAGTGGTTGTTTTTGCTGTCTTTAACTGAAGATTTACTGTCTTCGTTTTCCGCTGTGTTGTTGTCTGACTGATCCAGCTCAACTTTCACAACGTTGTTTTGTTGCAAGTCATTTTTAGTACTTTCAGCGTCCTTATTGGGCGTTGAATCGGATTTAGTTAGTTTTGATGTTTTCTTTCGTTTTTTAGTAGCAGGCTTGAGGTCGTCGCTGGTGTTGTTGCTGTCATTGCTACAGTTGTTGTTGTTGTGAAAATAAATCTTGTTAACGCCTTGTAAATGCGTAGTTAAGTGTGTCGACGTGTCATTTTTATTGTTGAAGAGACAATTTTTAATGACAGAATCAGTTGACGCGGTTGTCGTCGCTGCCGTTGCTGCTGCTGAGTTAGCCGACGGCAAATGATGAGAGGATGACGTAGTTGGAAAAGATGGTGACATCATCGTCGGGTGTGCCGGAAATTGATAGTGTGAGAGCTGATTGAAATGTTGGTAGGTTGACAGTAGGTTAAATAGTTGCTGTTGGTTGCTACTACTACTACTACTACTGTTGTTGTTGTTGCTGTTGTTAAGATAACTTTGTTGTTGTTGTTGCTGCTGCTGTTGTTGATGATGATGAAGATGATGATGGTGATAAAATTGATGCATTCTCAACTTTAAGATTCACCGAACGAACGTTTATCTAACACAAAATCCGCAAAAAATTATCAATAGTAAATTAGAATTAGAACACTAAATTAGGATTTCAACATTTGAATAATTATTACTTTATATTTAATAATATTTTTAATATTATGTTATTTTTAATAAAATCATTTACTTAATTCATTAAAATGGTCTCAAAATAACTAGGTTTTCAAATATTGACATAAAATTCTTATATGAAAAAACATATACATGTATGGGTCTTTATATATATATATATATATATATATATATATATATATATATATATATATATATATATATATATATATATATATATATCGTTTTAAGGATTATTTTAATTGAATTAATCAATATATAAAGTTAGATACTGATGGACGAATGTATATTTAATATTTTTATTTATTTATTAATTTTTCTATATTAATAAATTATTCAACTAAACAATT